AGTAGTCGCTCCTTCAAGGTAGCCACTTGATGCCTTTCAGAGTCAGACTTTGAAATTCATGACTCCTGCTCCAGATAGAAATGCCTTTTATGTTATCACTTCAAAACGAAAAAGGGAACCTACATACTCCTTACATGCCAAATTTCTTGGATACCTAGATATCCCTCTGGAGAATTATCTTTTCCAGTTTTACACATCGAAGACAGGTATTGTAAGCAGTTCAAAAAAAAAACCAGTATTTCAGTTTAATAAATACAAGATTTTGAAAATCCAAGACTTAAAACACTGTCAATTTATTTTGCTGAAGAGTCAAATTCAATAATGAACACATGCAGACTGTGGAAAAAATTAAAACTAAGATGGAACAAAATGGGACAAACTTAAGCTGATGCAGTTTCTCATGCAACATTCATTTCTAAACAAATTCTCAGCAAGGTTTCAACTCAGGTATTAGAGTAACATTACAAGAAATCATTATCTGGATCTCAGGAGTTCCAGTTAACTTGCGCACAATAAGTTTAATTATCCAAATGGTTCTCACAGCAAATATCAATTCACTCCCCTCATCTGTATCTTTGGGAAGTAATGCAAGTTTGTAAGTTAACGTATCAACTCTGCCAGAGTAGAAGGTAAAGAAAGAAAACTTTGGATAAGTTTAATGTGTGTAAAGAAACATTTTCCGCTTCAGTGAAAAAGTAAATGTTGTTTATTCACACTACATAGCACACATTCATTTTATTTGTTAGAACTTAAATGCTTCTGGAGTCCAGGTACTCTACAGGTAAATCTAGACACCTTTCTCACAGCACAGAACTAACAACATTTAAGTCGATTTCTCTAACCTTAAGTTAGAGATTCCATGCTCCGTTTTCAAACCACGGGAGAAGACCTGGAGTCAGTTCTTCAATTTATCATTTAAGAAGAGAGCAACTTTTCAAAAGCAACTGTACCTTAGTGCTCATGCATCATCAATGTTTTTACTCCAGAAAACGTGGAAAGCTAGTCTGATAAAGCTGTGGAAAGCTAGTCTTGAGTTCTTCAGCACTACACATTGCCATTAGATTCATTTAAGAAAAGGCCATCAGCCATCCTAGACATGACAATCTCTTAGGGTAGGAGAATAGAGAAGCTTCCTAATGATACACACCCTTACAACCGGTTATTTCACAGGTAAATATCTGATCAGTACATTTAATGAAATATTTAAGTAGAAGAAAGGACTCCTGGTTAAACATTAACTACTTGCTCATTTGCCTCACTGATGGTCTTACTGCCGTTTTAGACTTTTCCCTCCTCCAGTCCAGCCAGATTAATAGCCGGTTTAGAAGCTGTACTTGAAACATCTCATCTAGTAAGCATTCAAGAACCTCAATGCAAGAAAACGCTGATGCAATGATTGAGAAAAGCAGCAAATTCTAACAGTTTTTATGTTTGAACATTAGATGTTTTACATTTCTCAGCTACCAGCTACTCATCAGTGGTGCTAAGCAGAAAGTTTTTCTAAGTCTGCTCATGTTCATATTGAAATTTAATATAAAATTCCTTTTAAATCAGTGTTTTGTCTGTTCAGAGCACAATGAAACAGTCACAAAGTTTCAGTCCATCTTTCATACTCTAAGGATAAACAACCTTGTGACATGCTACAGTAAATCTCACAAACACACTTTTGTTAGCAAACAGCTTAAGCAGCCTACCAGAACTACCTACCCACTCAGTAAGCAACAAAGAGCTTCAAAAACAAACAAAAAAAGTACTTTATATAGAAGTAGATGAAAGTTAAAATGACTGCTTAGTAAAGGAAATAATTTCCTTTCTGAATTTTATTCAAGTTATTATGCATCAGCATCAGTGCAAGAACTTCCTTCTCAAATGAAAACAATTTTCATCTGGTAAGAACAGCCTGCCAAGGAATTTGAGTTCTGGTAGCCTGACCAGGAAAGTTTCTTCAGAAAATTTCAGAGTAAGTAGACAATCTGAACTTTTCAGTGAAATAGGGTATTTTGCCTCATAAAAGCCCATCTTCTCCTACTCCCAATCAAGTGTTTAGATATAAAATTTCCACAAGAGCTGAAGAAAATTAAAGGATGGGGGAAGTTACTTAAAACTAAGGATCACCGAAGTATTGTTCATACAAATTCAAATGAAAAATGGGATTAACTTCCAGACTCCAAGAAAATCTATTTTTCAGATTCTATCAATATTATTAAGAAGCAGTACATTTTTCCTACAAAGTTTTGTATAAGTTATAGGATATAGCACTAACCCCTCAATTTGGAAAATATAAACCCAAGACATCGGGAGACACATTTTTAAAGAAATAGTAATGATAATCAGACTGAAAACTCTATTTGGATATTTCTATTTTATGGTTAATTATATCAAGCACCTACTTATGTGCATAAAGCACTTTTCCAAGGCTTCTGGTGATGAGATTCCTATGTATTTTAGTAGGAAGAGTTAACAGGAACAGATGCACCTCCACACCTACAACATTAATCACATGAATCTGCTACTGTATTATGAAGACAACAGAATGTCGCACTGGAAAAAAATGCTAGTAACTCAGGATTTTCTGAGATAATTATATACTTCTAACTTGAGTCCAAGCTGTTGTTACAAAAGCATTACCTTTTGCTCGTTTTCCTTGTCTTGATCATGGTATTTAGTTACATACTAAAATTGCTCTAACACATTAAATAGTCTGATGGTTTATTTAGAAGTGAGGTGCCACAGTATTTCCCTTTTCATTTAAGAATGAAAACAACTGCTATTTGTCTTGAATACTGTAAACATTATAGAGTCAAAATGAATATGCAAGAAACTGAAAAATGTCAAATAGCCATAAACTAAAAGCCACACATACTGAAAAAGCCATCAGATTCAGAACAGCTGAATCTGGTGTTACTGCATTAAGACAGCAAGATGCAAACTGAACTGTTCATTGTCAGTTCAGCATATACAGAAACAATTTTCCACTTCCTACTTGTAGATATATTTTTATTCAGTTATATATTATACCAGAACACAACTCACTCTTTCATCAATGAGCAGAAAGATAACTTTAATAAAATATTAAAAAAAACCCAAATAATTAAAAAAGCACTCATTACTCCTATCCCAATACTAACTGTAAAAAAATTGGCTAGTGGAATTATCCAAGAAACCTCTCATTCCATTCCTTTAAATGTGAAGACTGATCTAGTACAATTTATTATCCTTTTATTTTCAAAGAACCACCAAATTCTTGCAAAGAAAAAAAGTTTAAACTATTCGAACCAAAATCAATATTAGATGAAGCCTTTTTTTTTTTTTTTAACATGGAAAAAAACTGCATAATAAATAGGGCTTCTTCACAAAGGGACGTCACTTTTGGAATGCTAGAACTCATGCTTCTCATTCAATGATCTGAAAAAGAGGCTGAATAAGATGACTTAAGTTCACCAGTAATACCAGACAGAAAACACATACAACAACAAATTCTAAACTGTTACCACTCAATACTTCCATATTATAAATAGGCAGTTCCATGAAATTGTCAGTTCAGAACTCAGCAACAGTTAAGGATAGCTTTACAAGAGGAAAAAGAACAGCATGAAAAAGACTTCCCTTTGAGGTTGTGCAGAACAGAGTTTAAGACAGGATTTGGGTTTTTTCCTCATTCATTCCTGCACAGTAGCTTGCAATGACCCAGCCCGCGTTTCTGCTTACCCAGACTTCAGGCTAAGTTCTGCATTTCACCAGCTAAATCATTCACCAAATCTAGTCTCAATTTTAGCCTAGGGTTATAGAGTTCCATGTCCCCACAATCCCATACCTGAAGATCCCCATGCCTGTAAAACACTTTTGAAATGCCAGCTCTATGGATATGTAATCCAGCAACTTGTTTAGTGTATCCTCTTGAGATACTTCGCTCAGATATTCCAGTAGTAACAAATTGCAGTATTTTTGTCTGAAGAACACTCCATGGTTAACTTTGTAGTTTTTTCTCACTAGGCTACAGAAAAGAATCCTGGTTTTGCAACTTAATTTTATATGTTTTAATGTTACCTCTGCATCAAAGTGAAAGTAAAATGTGTAGCTATAAATGGTCCAATAATCTAATTGAGATGATGGGGCTATTTTTAGAGAACCATTATCAAAAGGCAGCACTTTACATTTAAGAGCATGTACTGCCTAATGTAAGGATTGTCCAATATAAGGTGAAACTTCCTAATTGCATATAGTACTTGTATTAGCAACACTTCAAGAAGCTCAAGGTAAAAATACATACCTTCTTAGATATCTATTTTAATATGTATTCCTGTAACACCTGTGTAACTCAGACACAGAATTTGCATTGTGCTAGGTATTGTAGTTAAACTCAACACCTTGGGGCAGTGCATATCTTGTATCTGAAAACATAACGGATGCTTCGTGTGCCAAGTACTTTAAAAATGCCTGACCTTCAAGCCCTTCAAGTAAAAATTAAAATAACAGAGTTCATTGGAAGACATAAGGAATAGATCAGAATGCTGAACCAAAATGCAGATGAACAGAAGGGCCTTAAAAGAGAATTAGACAAAAGTCAGCAATCAGATATAGTGAAAGCAACCAAATGATGAAAGAGAGGAGTCTAAAACCAGAACGATAACCTAGGACAATCGACTGAGACTAACAAGTTTAACATCTGGGACAGATAAGAAGCAATTCAATCAGTGAGAGAGGATGGACAAAACCATTAAAAAAGTCACTTGAATAATGAAAGCTTTTTCTTTTTCAAGCTAGAGAGCTCAGGAAAGGTTCACAGTTGTTAGCTCTCAATTCTCTAAACTTATCTATAAAGAAGAAGCAAATAAATTCCTCTGAAACATATTTAACATACAGCTTCAATCTTGCAGCTTTTACCTGTCATAAATACCTTGAGTACTTTAATGACTGTACAGGCAAGCTTAAAACTCTCTGCAAGCACCATCGGATCTAATGAGGGAGTGAGAAAGGAAATAAGGAAAAAAATAACATACCTTGTGTTGTTCTATTGCATCTACCCACTGTTGTCTGTGGTCTGGGTCCTGAGCTCGGAGGTACCAAACACTGTCGTTTACGCTAATATCAAATCTGCATTCGTCAAAGTCATGGGGCTGTGACAGAAGAGAGTGTAAGAGTAGCTAAAATTAGCAACATGATCAACAATACTTGACAGAATATTTTGACACTCTAAAACACTGTAATTAGAAAACCTGGTCTATATTGTCTTGAATTCATCCTAGATTCCAAATTCTGATTTATGCAGCTGTCTGAAATGATGAACATACTTTTTTATAACAAAAAATGCCAGTCTTCTGAAATAGAAAAGCCTACTTAATACTTTCTTATTAAATAAAATTGTCACAAAGAAGTTCCACACAAACATCAACCAAAACTTCATATTTTGAGAACACATCCTTTAGTAAAATAACTACTGGACACAACCAGGAAAATGCACTTATATATATATATATATATTTTATTTCAAAGCAGAAAAAAAAATAAGGTTATTGCTATTAGTATTGATTTTAGACAGAAGGAATACATACATAGTAGCAAAAAGCACTGAGATAGAACCATAAAAGCAGACTATAGGCAAAATGACAAGGAGGAGCAGGAACTCAAGAAAGCTGTGGCACCCTCTGCCTCAACTGTTTTCACCATGTAAGACAGGATTGCCAGATAATTGGGTGCAACATGCAATCCTTTCCAGTATCACCACTCAAATGCATCTAACTTTCAGTTCACATGCCTCGAATACTAAAAAGCTTCTACTAGTATTACAATGAAGCTGGTAAGGAAAGTACAGGGGAAAAAAAGTAATCATCTCATCTATCCTGTGACCTGACACTGTCAGTTCAAAGCTACTCCTTCGCAAACTTCCAACTGAGCACAACACTCCCCACCACCCACTCTCTAAATATTCTTAAAGAAATCTAACAGGTATAACTGAATATCTTTCTGAATTTGAATACAAAGTAAAGTTATACATGCAAATAACCATATAAAGCTAACAGGCTCTAAGGTTAAGACAAATTATGTGATCTAAATGATAGAATCATAGAGTATCAGGTTGGAAAGGACCTCACGGATCATTTGGTTCAACTTTTCTCGGCAAGAGCACAGTCTAGACAAGTTGGCCCAGCACCCTGTCCAGCCAAATCTTAAAAGTGTCCAATGCTGAAGAATCCACTGCTTCACTGGGGAGATTATTCCAATGGCTGATGGTTCTCATTGTGATCAGACACAAGAGGAAAAATTTTCACAGTCTCCCCAGGAGTAACCTGTACCTATTACCCTTCGTCTTTTCTATGTGACTCCTTGTAAAAATGGAGTCTCCATCTTCTTTGTAGCCACCCTTTAAATAATGCAATATGGTGATAAGGACCACAAATATTGATTTCAGATGTTAAAGTCAAGTCTACACGTTAGTAATATCAGGTGCATGGGGGCTGCAGTCAGTTTGTCGCACGTTGTCTCTGGAGCTCCTTTCTCCTCACACTCTTCCCCTGCTCCAATGCAGGGACCGTCCCATGGGAAACAGACCTCCATGAACTTGTCCAACATTGGTTATTCCCACAGGCTGCAGTTCTTCACTAACTGCTCCAGCATGGGTTCCTTCCACATCGTGCAGCCCTCCAGGAACAGACTGCTTCAGCATGGGTCCCCCTAAGGGTCACAAGTCCTGTTGCAAACCTGCTCCAGTATGAACTCCTGTCTCCAAGAGGCCACAGGTCCTCCCAGGAGCCAGCTTCAGCACAGGCTCTCCACAGGGCCACAGCGCCACAGCCTCCTTCAGGCACATTCACCTGCTCTAGGATGGGTTCCTCCATGGGCTACAGGGGAACAACCTGCCTCAGTATGGTCTTCAGCACAAGCTGCAGGGAAATCTCTGCTCTGGTGCCTGGAACACCTCCTCCCCCTCCTTCTTCACTGATGTTGGTGTCTGCAGAGTTGTTTCTCTCATACATTCTCAATCGTCTCTCCCAGTTGCTCTTATGCAGCAGTTTTTACCCTTTCTTAAACATGTTATCTCAGACGTGCTACCATCATCACTGATTAGCTCAGCTTTGGCCACCAGCAGGTCTGTCTTGGAGCCAGATAGAACTGTCTCTGTCAGATATAGGTGCAGCTTCTGGCACTTTCCCACAGAAGTCACCTCTAGTCACTGCCTTCCCCACCCCCAGCCCACGTAAACCAAATACAACAATACATCTCTTCCAGTCAAGGCCCCTCTTCTTCAAACTGCATTTGCTACATTATTATTACTATATATGAGAAAGATGATTATCTGCTTTAGGATAGCAAACCTGTCACATCAATGTGTCAGGCTGATATGCCTTTTCCCAGCCACCTGTCTGCCAGGCCCTCCTTTAGCCATGTGGTGGAGGACAGGCATCTACAACAATGGAAGATTCTTCCAAAAAAAATAACCCAAAAAGCAAGTGTACAAGAGTTTGCTTGATCTCTCTCTCTCTGAAGCCTTTTGGCAGGAGTTAAAAGCAGTTACATGCTTCACAGTTAGAAAAACTTGTCAAAATTCACCTTAAAAGTCTGCAGTACTACTGATTCCACACTTCCATATACAGTTTACTCCAGTGCACAATCATCCTTGCTTTTTCTCCCTGCTCCATCTCTAACCTAAACATCTTCTAATGTGATTTAAGATCATCACCTCTCTGCCCTTTTCAAAGGCAGGTTTATGTATTCCCTTTCTTTACATAGTACTTCTAATATATTTGAAAATCTGTATCTTGTTGCTAAGACAGGGAAGGTTAAGGTCTAGCTAAAACCGTTGAACACTTACCTGGGCCGTTCACTGCATGGCCACTTCTGCATTACCTATAGTTAAGAGACTAGGCCATCTAAAAATCAGGTCTAGGGTCATGCTGAACTCACCGTGCAGTTCCATGTTACAAAAAAGCCAGCTGATGGGGTGGTCCTGTTAGACAAGTTGCTTAAAGATAAGAAATATTTACCTACAAGGCTAAACACTGCTTCAAAAGGAAGTTTAGCAGGTGATAAATGATTTGCTCTTGACAGATGCATGTTACATGTTACCTATTTACCATCTTATAGTACTTATTAACTGCTTATTTTCCTATTTTTTGCCAACTGAAATCAGATCCATTATTTCCCTTCCTTTTCCTCTGCCTTTTTTTTTTTAAAGACAGGCTTCACTGAAAGAACCCTGAATTAACTGAACATGAAAGGCAAGTTCTCCAATACGCATTTTACCAAGAGCAAATAAAACACCTGAATCACATGTTCTTTTCTTAATACAGAACAAATCAAGTTGTTGTCCATTAACCCTTTTGTCAATCAGGAATGAGTTCACATTTCATCTTCACTAATAACAGACTCCAGTACATAACTTCTTGGCATCATCTGTTACATTCTCCTCCCCACTGAGCTATGAACAAACTTCGTTGGTTTCCCTCTTGCTATAAGTGCTTTTATTGTTTTCTGTAGCTGCATCTAGCAGAGACCACAAAGCATTATTCACCACTTCTCAGGTCTGTCCTTTATTCTTCTAACATCCTCCTCACACTAGTTTAAGCCTCTTCTTACACTTGCTGAAAGTTTTTCTATTTCTCTTTCCTTCACTTTCTTCCTATAGATCTCAGCTCATTTCACTTAGATGTCCTTTTTTCTGAGGTTCACTGTTTCTAGCTAGTGCTCACTTTCTTCTTGCACTCAGAAATGATTATAAAATGGTACAGTTCTTAGCCAGCTGCCTGACAAGATGTTGGAGGATAAATAGGGATTTTCATCTAACAAGCTAGGGACCTGTGCTGAGGCCAGCAAATGTCCTGCTGCCCTTTCACAACCAACATAAGGTGAGAAAGAGGAATGTTTTAGTCACGCAGGGAAGCAGGAAACAAGTAGTTCTCTATCTACCCTCAGGACTCAAAGCAGGTTGGAGAACTTCAGCTGCCTAATACCCTCACCCTGCAGCAGCCTCAAGTAGCATACATACATAAATTTAGAGGGCACTGGAGAAAAAAAGAACTAGATTGACACGACACTGTGAATGGGGGCACCTGAAAACCTTTATAGCCTTTTCAAAAGTGAGTTGGGCAGACTTTAAGAGCCTGTGGCACAGGCAGCCTTTGTGCGTGTCAAGGACTCTTTCCAGAGCCAGCATTAAAAAATAAAAAAGCCAACAGCTAAATCATAATTCCCTGCAAGAATATGGTGCAAGAAATAGGCCTCCAGCACACCCAAACACCCTTTTGTACGCCTCCTAAGCTTTCATCCAAGGCACCTGCAAAGAATCTTGCCAAAATAAAGGCAATTGCAAGTATTCAAATGTCCCAGATCTGTCTGTATAAAACCAACCAATATCAGTTCAAACTCTAAACAAGCAAGAACAGTTTACATGAAGAAACATTTACTTGGCTACAGTTACTGAGGAAGTCCATAGCCAGCTCAGGTCTCATGAGTCATAGCTGACTGTATTGCCACAAACTCCTTCCTGCTATACAGCTCTCAAGCCTGAGGTATTCATGAAACAAACTTCAGAGCACTATCTGCTTGAAAAATACTGGTTCAAGTGCTCAAGGCAAATCACACAGGGAAGAGTAAGTGTTTTTATGTACTTCATAACCTTCAAGAGTACTCCATGGGGAGGGGAGTGGGATACTTGAACAAAGAAACTTTTGCTTGCTCTCTCACTGCTCTAAATGGTATTTCTTCTTTTCGCTACAGAGGAAAGCTGAAGCAGTTCACAGCAGATCCAACTCAAGCCTGCACATCACAACTATTAAAGCGTGCTCATGCTATTTCCATTGCAGAAATAAAACTTATCTATGGTTAGCTTATTTTCAAATTTCGAAGGTTTTTCATACTAAGAAAATACCAAGCAAGGCACTAGGACACAAGAGAAACAACAGAGGTCTACAGAAAATGAGAACCACCATTCTTTAGCACTCTCTGACACGAATGTCACCAGTATAAATGCAGCAGAGGCTGCTACACAGCCTAGCACCATCGCAGTTATTAACAAAACAATACCACATACTGCTATGAAGACAACTGCAGTTTACAAATACACCAGAGTTATACACTATAATAACACATATTAACTGAAGACAAGTATTATACTTACCTA